TTCAACCTATCTAGGAATTTAGCCACACATACACACACACACACCCCGCCGCCACTGTCCCATCCCTGGTAACCAACAAAGAAAGTTTCTCTCTATGTATAAACCTTTCCTTGACTTCTTACAATAGTGGGCCAATACAATATTTGTCCTTCTGTGATTGATTTATTTCACTCAGCATAAAGTCCTTCAAGTTCATCCATATTATGCAGTGTTTTGCATATTCTACATTGTTCTTTAGTGTTGCATAGTATTCCATTGTGTGTATGTACCACAGTTTGGTTATCCGTTCCTCAACTGATGACCACTTAGATTGTTTCTATCTTTTTGCTATTGTGAATAGTACTGCTACGAACATGGGTATGCATATATCTATTCATGTCCTGCCTTTAACTTCTTTAGGATATGTACCTAGTAATGGGATTGCTAGATCAAGTGATATTTCTATTTCTAACTTTTAAAGAAATCATCACACTGGTTTCCACAGTGGTTGTGTTATTTTACAGTCCCACCAAGATGGTGCCTCTTACTCTGAGCGCAGTCTACCCTCAGGTGTCTCAGGCTGGTTGTGTTTCCTGTGAACCCCCAATCTATACTCTTTGTACTCTTCTCCATGAGGCTGTTGGCTTTGTATTGATTTCTTGGCTCTCTTTACATATTGAGGCATACAGCCCATATTTGTCCAGGACTGAGTGGCCCTGTGATGAAGTTGTGCCTAATGTGAATTTTTTCTTCTTGTGAAAACTTGCACATGAATGTCAGCCCCAGAGGGCTCAAAGAAAGCTCTGGAAAACACCCCTTTCCTTCTCGTAGTCCCTACAGAACTTCTATGAAAAGAGGAGGCTGACAGAAAGCAAAATGGCAGAGGCAGTGGGGCCCATGCACAGTCTGTGGGGAGGGAGTTGGATGTCCAGGCAAGGCTGGCTGAGCAGCGGCTCGGTGCCTGCCTGCTGTGTGTAGCTTGGCCCGTGTTCCTGGGCATCAGTGTTCTGTCCCTGGAGCCCTGGCCTTGAGAGACAGTGGGAGGGGCATGCAGTGGCTGGTATGGTGGTGAAAGCATTCAGATTCCCCGGGCTTCACTGCTGCCCAGGCCAACTTGAGGCTGGGGCGGGGAGGTGGTCAGTGTGGCCTTCCCATGGTGGGACTTGTCTCCCAGGAGGGGCTGGGGGTCCTTTGGTGGCCTTGTAGCATCTGAGTCCCCCTGGCCCTGACTGACACCACGAAAAGTAGCCTGAGAGTTAGGAGGTGGGTCCGTGCCAGCATCTGGCCGAGCAGATGGGTGCTGCTTGAGCCCAGGCCTGCCCTGCTTTGCATGCACCCCACTGCCTGCCTATCTTCACTTGGTTCTGTACTTCACAGGGCTCTTTGCAGACATGCCCCAGAGATGCGAGTACCACAGTGTGGCCCAGGAAAAGACCTGATCACTGCTCTGTGACTATACCCCAGACCCCCAGCAGTGTGCAGGTTCCCCATGGCCATCCTCTATCCAAGGTGTGCACAGGCCTCCTGCCTCCATTTCCTCCCTCTCCCACCGCCCCTGATCTTGGCTCAGGCTGTAGCCCTGTCCCCACCCTCTATGCTCAGCAGGCCCCAGTGAAGCACCACTGAATGAATGGATGAGTACATGGTGAATGATCAAATGGCCAGGGATGGGGGATCCAGAGTGCCACCTCCTACATCCCCTGCTCCCTGTGCTGTTGTCCTGACGCCCTGCGTATGGTCCTACCTTCAGGAGCCTACCCACAGCCAGGGGAGGCCCAGACATGCTGGGGGAGCAGCCCGAGGCTCTGGGCATCATCATTCAGGACAACTGGTGGTACCAGGCAAACTCTAGAGCCCTGTGTGGGGACCTTAGTGAACCCCAGGGTTCCAGTGAAAGAGGTGCCTCATTGCAGCCTCTTAGTCCCATGCAGAGGCTCTGGGAGGTTCATGACTTACTGATATTTCCTTTGGGGTCCTTAGAACACAGGGTTGGTCATAGGGAGGAGTGGAACAGTGCGGAGAGACTTGGGTTCTCTGTGGGGCCATGCCAGGCTGGGGTCAGCTGGACATACCCCTGACGGTGGCTTTGTGCCGGGGGGTGGGGGGAATTCCTTCCATCTGACAGGGGAGAGGCCTCTGGGACTGGGCCAGAGCCTCTGGTCTCTCTTGCACCCCTTGCCAGGTCAGGTCCCCACCTCCCCACTATCTTGCTGCTGCCTGTGACTGGCTTGCCCCATCACTGAAGACCCCAGAAGGGCTCTGTGGCCTGCACAAGGATAGCCACTAGTTGGCAGCAGGTTGTGATTGGGTGCCAGCTTTGTGCTGTGTGACGCCAGCCTTCACGCCAAGTGTGGGTTTGGGCTGGGAACAGTGGTGGCTGGGGCACCCTCCCCCTACCTTCCTGGAACGGCTGGTCCCCACATTCCTGGCCCTCATTAGGGGCGGGCATTGGGCCTGGGGATGGGAAGCTGTGTTCCAGAGACTGGGGCCTAGGGGGTGCAGAATGCTGTGGTGCCTGGTGGGTAGGGGATGACAGGGTGCTCTGTGGGATATGGTACCACTAGAGGAAGAAGTCTAGGGTACAGTTCTGTCCCAACATCCCCCCCTGACTTGTTCTGAGGATGAAGTGATGTGTTACAGTCTCTTAAACTCCTCATTCATTCAGCAAATGTTTACCAAAGGAAAATAATAAAGAGGTGAAGGGCAAGAAGGGTAAGGGGTAAGAGGGTTGGGTCATAGAGGGCTTGTCCTGCCTGGGTGCTGGGGCTTGTAGTAGGGATCTTATTTTCCCCATTTTTTTTCTTTTTTCTCATTAGGGTAAAATATACATAGCATGTACATTATAGTCATTAAGAAAAAAAATGTAATTTTATTGTGGTGAAAACATATACACCAAGACGTTCACAAACATAACAGCTGCCACATTTACAGCTCGGGGACCTGATGACAGTTTTCATGTTGCACCACCATTATTGCTATCCTTTTCCAAAATATTCTACCACCATAAGCATAAACTCAATGCCCTGCAAACAAAAGCTTCCGCTTTCCCCCTTCCTTCTCTCCCTGGTAACCACCAATAATCTTTGGTGTGTATGTATGTATGTGTGTGTATATGTGTGTGTGTGTGTAAATAATTTTTCCCCCTCACTTGTCTAGCAGTGTTCCCTCCCCTCCCCTCCCATCCCTGGTAACCACCAAAGAAAGTTTCCTTCCTTATATAAACCTTTTCTTGACTTTTTACAACAGTGGACTAATAAAATATTTGTCTTTCAGTGAATGACACTTCACTCAGCATAATATCCTCCAAGTTCATCCATGTTATGAGATGTTGTGCAGATTCTACATTATTCTTTAGTGTTGCACAGTATTCCATTGTGTGTATGTACCAGCTTGGTGATCCATTCCTCCATTGATAGGCATTTAGGTTGTTTCCATCTCTTTGCATTTTAGCCATTTTTACATGTAAAATCCAGTGACTTGAAGTAAATTAACACTATTGTACAACCATTACCACCAGCTAATTCCAAACATTCCAGAAAAAGAACCCCATGCCTATTAGTAGTCCCTGTCCATTTCCCCTCCCCCAGCTCTTGACAACTACTAAACTATTTTCTGTCTCCATATATTTGCCTGTAAGTGGGAGCATACAATATTTATCCTTTTGTCACTGAGTTCTTTTACTCAGCATCATGTTTTCAGGGTTTGTCCTCATTATAGCGTGTATCAGAGCTTCATTCCTTTTCATGGCTGAGTGATTTTCCATTGTGTGGAAGGACCACACTGTGTTTATACATCATCTGTTGATGGACGCTTGGGTTATTTCCACCCCTCTCCTATTTAAAACTTTACTTTTCACACTGAAACTGCCTTTGCCTCTTGAGGAACAGGAATCTGCTTTACGTGTTACCCCTAGCCTTAGGGCCAACACCCCTCCATCCTGTCAGCCATACAGCCCACCATGTCCCTGTCCCTATGGATGTCTTGGGTTTGGGGCAGTCTCTGCTGAGCCTCTTCCTTGGCTCCTGCCCCCTTGGCCAGGCAGCTACCCAGCACACCCAGATCCAAACCCTTCCAGAAACACCAAGGGAAACTTTGTCATAGATCCCCTCCCCAGGCTCTGCTGTGTTCTGCTTAATGTTGGATGTATGAAGGGTGTGGGTGTTTGGAGCCGGGGCCACTCAGAGGACCCAGCCCCACACAGGCAACAGGCTGGTCTGCCCCTTGTTCCCATTCTTGTCCCTGTCCTGGCTGGCACTGACTGGGGGCTGCTGCTCATTGCCTCCCAGCCACAGTGGCCACCTGCCCCATGCAAAAGCTGTTAGTCTCCTGTCTCCCAGTTTCTAGGCTGGGAGTTGAAGGCAGAGTGTAGCAATCCCCAGTCTTGCTGATGTGTCTCTGGTGGTCTCAGTGAGCTCACCTGTACCAGGGCAGATCAGAGCACACAAGCCTGCTAGGATCCCACTTGGGAAGATGGACCGGATTGGGGGTGAAGGCAGGCCTTTGGAGTTGTGGGGAGAGCCGTCTGGGTACCCCTTCCTGACTGCTGCCCTCGCCCACCCCACAGCATGGCTGACAAGAATGGGGCCCTCAAGTGTACCTTCTCAGCGCCTGGCCACAGTGCAGGCCTCCTGCAGGGCCTCGCCACATTGCGTGCCCAGGGCCAGCTGCTTGATGTGGCTCTTACCGTCAACACTGAGGTCTTCCATGCACACAAAGTGGTTCTGGCCGCCTGCAGCGACTACTTCAGGTGAGTGTGGCTGCGGGCTGGGGTATGGTGGGACAGTGGTGGGGGGGTGGCTTTCATCCTAGGAGAAGCTCAGGTCTGTGTGAAACCTGCACCCAGTCTAGGGCTACACTTTATCTGAACTTTCTAGAAGCATTGTAAGAGGTGTCTGGTGGCCCAAGGGCACCCCCTTAGTAGCCTCTGACTTGGGAGGTGCAAGGAATGGTTTTATTTGATGTCTGCTATGTGCCAAGGTAGGAGCTCTGGTAGCATAGTGCCTAAGGCACTTGACTGCTAACCAGAAGGCTGGCAGTTCAAACCCACCAGCCACTCCTCGGAAGGAAGGTTGGCAATCCTACTTCCGTAGTGATACTGCCTTGGAAACCCAAGGAGGGGTCGCTATGAGTAGGGGCTGACTTGACAGCATATAACAACATGTGCCAAGGTAGGCCTAGGTCCTGGGGCCCCAGCAGAGAATGACAGGGACCCCTATCCTGACTCCACAGAACCCCCACAACAAAGTAGACAGCAGGGGACAGGAGGGCTCCCCAAGCCATAGCCACTCCTGGTCCCCTGTCCAGGACCTGTGCGTGGACCCCCTTGTGACCCCGCAGGGGGTGCTTCTCTCCCACCTGACAGATGAGACCTGGGATGAGCATTCTGTCTTGGGCCTGGAGCTGGACCGGGACCTCTTCCTCGACAATGGGACTGTCATGGGGCCAAGGACACTTTTACAGTAGCCCAGTGTGGGGGTGGCTTCAGCCTGGTGACCCAGCCAGAGCCCCTGCCCTGGGTAGCCCTCCCCATAGAGTCCTGGCATGTCTGCTTCTGCCCCCTGCAGCCACCCGAGGCTCGGCAGGCCCCTGGGGAAGCACAGATCTATTTTTACTCTGGATTTGGGGAAGGGGAGGCTGAGCCAAGCCAAAAGTGCCCTTCACGCTCCTCCGTGGTTCTCTGAGCTGCCCGCACCTTAAAAGGCAACACTCTGTGCTGCTGGGCGCCTCTGCCCTAGGTGCACGAGGCAGGCATCAGCAGACGGGGGTGGGGAGTGGCCACAGGGGGCTGATTGGCGAGTGGGTGTGGGATGGTTATGGTATGTGGTCTGGGATGACCAAGCCCACCCTGAGCCTGCCCACCCTGGAATGCGGATGCAGCTGTCTGTTGGGTCGTAGCTCACATACCATGAATGGACAATAGCAAGTCAGTTGCTACTGTCCAGTGATGAGGCCTTGACCTGCACGTCCTTCTGGACCCCCTAGTTCTGGGAGAGGCTGCTGTTCTCCCTCCTGTTGGTGGAAAGCGGAGCTTAGAGGGCCGGGCTGTGCTTATCTGGTGGCTCTGTAGCTGGAACCTTATGCTTCCTGGAGGACAGAGCCAGCTCCGACTCCCAGGGCAGCAGAGTGTGGGAGATCAAGCTGCGGTCATCTGCTCAGGGTCACACAGTGGGCAGGGCAAGTATGTGGCCAAGGTATCTCTAAGCTGGACAGGGGGCTTCCCTGGCTGCCTGGGGCTCTCCAGAGAGTACAGTAACCCCCAGGGAGCTCCCAGCCACTGGGGAAGTGGGAGGGGTAGCTCTCTGTCCCCATGTGATAGCTCAGGAAGGCAGGACCCTTGCAGGCCCACAGGTAGGTAGGGGCTGTGCCTAGAGATTAGAGAGCCATAGTCACCTGAGTCAGGGCCTGACCCTTGAGCTTGTCTCCAGGTTTTCCTGGGTCAGTGTCCAAATGGGCTGGGGGCCTGTCACTGGGCCCAAAGGGGTGTGGGTTCCTCCTGTGTGTTGTGCCTGGTGCTTCTGCAGTCCCTTTTGACGAACCCTTGGGTGGACCCAGGGCCCATGCAGCCCATCCCTGGTTACTCTGACCTAGCCAGTACCCCTGATGCAGCACCTCCAACTTAATGACCATCAAGGAGGGCCTTCCTTTGTCCCTTCCCCTTCCCTTTCTATATCTCCCACATGTGCTAACAAGCCCTCCCGCTCTTCAGGCCAGCCCGCATCCATGTGTGTCTTCCCTGCAGGGCCATGTTCACTGGCGGCATGCGGGAGGCAGGCCAGGCAGTGGTGGAGCTGAAAGGTGTGTCAGCGCGTGGGCTGCGGCACATTGTGGACTTCGCCTACAGTGCAGAGGTGACACTGGACCTGGACTGCGTGCAGGATGTGCTGGGTGCAGCTGTGTTTCTGCAGATGCTGCCAGTAGTGGAACTGTGCGAGGAGTTCCTCAAAGCAGCCATGAGCGTGGAGACCTGCCTGCACATTGGCCACATGGCTACTGCCTTCAGCCTGGCCTCACTGCGTGCCTCTGTGGACGCTTTCACCTTCCGGCACTTCTTGCAAATCTCCCAGGAGGAGGACTTCTTGCACCTGCCACTCGAGCGTCTTGTCTTCTTCCTTCAGAGCAACCACCTGCAGAGCTGCGCCGAGATCGACCTGTTCCATGCTGCCGTGCGTTGGCTACAGCATGACCCCGCCCGGCGGCCACGTGCCAGCCAGGTGCTGTGCCACGTGCGTTTCCCACTGATGCAGCCCTCGGAGCTGGTGGACAGTGTGCAGACGCTGGACCTCATGGTGGAGGATGCACTGTGCCGCCGCTACCTGCTTGAGGCCTTCAACTACCAGGTGTTGCCCTTCCGGCAGCATGAGATGCAGTCGCCACGCACAGCTGTGCGTTCAGATGTGCCCTCGCTGTTGACCTTTGGTGGCACACCCTACACTGACCACGACCGTGCTGTCAGCGCCAAGGTATACCTGCTGCCTGAGCCAGGGGCCCGCCAGTTCCGTGAGCTGGCTGAGATGGAGGTAGGCTGTAGTCATACCTGCGTGGCTGTGCTAGACAATTTTGTGTATGTGGCAGGTGGTCAGCACCTGCAGTACCGCAGTGGTGAGGGTGCCGTGGACGCCTGTTACCGCTATGACCCGCACCTCAACCAGTGGCTGCGGCTGCAGGCCATGCAGGAGAGCCGCATCCAGTTCCAGCTGAATGTGCTGGGTGGCCTGGTCTATGCCACAGGCGGCCGCAACCGTGCCGGCAGCCTGGCTTCGGTGGAGCGCTACTGCCCACGCCGCAATGAGTGGGGCTATGCCTGTTCACTCAAGCGGCGCACTTGGGGCCACGCAGGTGCAGCAGCAGGTGGCCGGCTTTACGTGTCGGGTGGCTATGGCATCTCAGTGGAGGACAAGAAGGCATTGCACTGCTACGATCCGGTGGCCGATCAGTGGGAAGCACGAGCGCCCATGAGTGAGCCACGTGTGCTGCATGCTATGGTGGGTGCCAGTGGGCGGCTATACGCACTGGGTGGCCGCATGGACCATGTAGACCGCTGCTTTGATGTGCTGGCAGTTGAGTACTACGTGCCCGAGGCTGACCAGTGGACCAGTGTCAGCCCCATGCGTGCCGGCCAGTCGGAGGCTGGCTGCTGTCTGCTGGAGCACAAGATCTACGTGGTCGGCGGCTACAACTGGCGCCTCAACAACGTCACAGGGCTTGTGCAGGTCTACAACACAGAAACTGATGAGTGGGAGCGCGACCTGCACTTCCCAGAGTCCTTCGCCGGTGTTGCCTGTGCTTCTGTCCTGCTGCCCCGTGCTGCCACTGCACGCAGGTAGCACTGGGGACACCCCTGTACCCTGGGGTCCTGCCAGCAGACCCTGTAGTGATGAGGCCATTTTCTCCTCTCACTGTGTCCAAGGTCATGGGGGGAGCGGTGGCCACGTTCTACCTCCTCCTCCTCCCCCAGTGGCCATGGCCTCACGGACTCTCATATGTCAAAGCCAAAGTCCAAGGTATGCAGCCTCCCCCTCATGCCCAAAAGATTCTTGTGTGTGTGTTTTTAACATAAATGGAACCCAAACCTTCAGAACCCACAGGCTTCCAGGAGTTCTGAGAGGCAGCTTGGAGCCCCTAGGTGCAAGGGAGGCAGATGATGGGAGCACATTCCTGCCCAGCCCCCTCCTCGGCAGTGTTTTCCCAAGTGCTGGGCTGCCTGGGCGGGGGCTGCAAGGGTTCCTACACTCCTTGCCCTGGCCCCAGACTCTGCCCAGGGTGGTTCATTTTCTGCTTTCGGAAGAAAAGACAGCAGCTCTTGGGGACCTCTCAGAGGCCAGCTATGCCAAGTTGATGTCAAAACTTCTCGACCTGCCTTTTTAAAACTTTTTAAGAAGTGGGTAACCACTGTCTTATGAATGGGATTTGTATTCTCTGGGGGCAGTTCAAGCTGTCTCTTGAGCTGCTCACGTGGGATGGATGCTGGCTCCTTTGACCCGCCTGCGTGTATGGAGTTAACCTCACACCCTCGTGGACGTCATTGCCTAATATTTTCACTTATTGAATAAAAACGTTCTGGGGGAGGCGGTGCCGGATGGCGCTGAGCTCATGTGGTTTGTGTGATTTGCCACAGATTGCACAGTTCCCATGTGCATGGGGGCCGGGGCTCCTTCACCCCTCTGAGAAGCTGGGTGGCAAGGTGGGGGCTGGCCTCTGGCACAGGGGCACCTGGAAATGATGAGAGGTGAGTTGGAGGGAAAGCAGGCAGTCACCCTAGCCCCCCAGCCCTGTAGGTGCCATGTGCTTGGGCCCAGGATGGGGGCTTCTCTCCAGAGGCCATGAGGGGCAGGCCTTCAAGGGAGCATGAATCATTACTGTGTGTATGGGTCTAGAGATCTGAGAGCCCCTAGCCCCTGCTTTTATGACCCTTCTTCCTAACTGAGTGAGGAACATGCTGCCCAGTGGGTGCATGTCATCAAAGTCTGTCTGAGGCCCCAGACGGCCTTCCAGGAGGCCAAGGGCTGGCCTGGCACACCCAGGCTGAGGCCACTGGGTGAGGCCAAGAAGGCAGGGGCCTGAATGGGAACTTCGTTAGGAGCCAGAGCCCACACTGCTGGGGGCATTGTAACAAGCAGAGGTCCCAGAGGACATCCCAGAATGTTCCAGCGCCTCCTTACCACCCAGCAACTTCCAACGCGAGCTGCCCCAAAGAGAGCCCTCTCCCAGTGAAGGCACGGCCCCCTCAGGGGGTGGGGAGCAGCTTCTGCCAGCTGCAAGTCCCCCCAGATCAGCTCACACCTCGGAACATCTTGTCCCCAATGAGCTGGCAGGGGGCAGGGCGGGGGCGGGGCACGGCCGTATCTAATCGGCTCGATTGTGCAGAACCGTCTGGGCTGGTGCATGGAATGTTGCGGGGAGAGGGGGCTGCCCCTCCCTCCCCCCCCCGGAAGAAAGGAAAATTATTTTTCGTATTGTAAACTTTAAACACGAAAAGGCTGTTTTTAATTTAGCAGAAACTGGCTTGAATCTTCACGTTGTGAACGTTTGTGTCCTTCAGAGAAGGGAGAAACATGCACACACACACACACTGGATGCATGCAGACCTGCACCCACGCATTGTGATGTGAGCATGCATGCACACGTGAGGCTTGCACAACTGCACCCATTGTCATGCACATGCTTATTCAAACATGCACACACATATGATCCCTCACACATACAAAAACAAGCACACACACCTGCACCCGCACATTGTGACATGCACATGTGCACTCAGATGCACATGCTTATGTACATACAAGCACATACAAACATGCTAACTTATGTACACGTGCACACATGAACATGGCCACATTTGTGCACATACACATTCACACCTACACATAATCTTGCACACACATATACATACTTAAACACACGTTCACTCACTCATGCATGCACTCACATGGTCACATGCATGCATATGCTCACACATGCACACAGTCACACCTATCCTCCCCTGACCTGGCCTGGCCACCTCACTGGCCTGGCCTAGCATGGCACCTTGAAGGACCTGTAGCTCCTTGACTCCCGCCACCCTTGTCTCCCTGCCTGCTGCGTGTGGGATGAGCTGGGAGAGCCATCTGGTTCCAGATGTCCAGCTTCCTTGCTGCGGCCTGGCTGCCTCCCTCCGCACCTGGCCCGGCTGTGGGAAAGGCCTCTCGGGAGGGCGGATGCAGGCCCGAGGTGGGGGGGGGGGCAGTGTGACGCGGGCTGAGCCCCTGGGGGCCGTGGTGGGCCCCACTCCGACCTGGCCGGCTCAGATCCGCCCTGGCTGCATCCCGGGGCGCGGCTCCAGTTCCTCTTTCTCACGACTGAGTACTCATTTCCATGCAGCCTCAGAACTCAGAGCTTGGCTTAGGAGGGGCACCTGGCTGTGTGTCTTACAGGGAACACACGGCTTGGACATTTGTCTCACAAACAGATCCTTGGGACGGGGAGTGGGAGCAAACCTCCTACTGATCTTTCAGTGTGACTGGGAACGTTGGCAGGCATGCGGGCCCTGGCATGAGAAGCCGCTGGGCTGTGTTCGGGGCCCTGTTCTGCTGTCCCCGAAGTCCTGTGGCCACTGCTAACCAGCTGCCCCCTTCTTCCCGCCCCATCCTATGAAGTGCCAGCAGCATGGCTGGGCCTTGGGGGTGATGCACACTGGGTGGAGCCATTCTTGGCAGTGCTGTTGGCCAGATTGTTTTAGATCCAGGCACTCTTCCCAGCTCTGGTCACAGAGTTATGACTGCCGGGCGGGGGGGTCTGGGGTGGGGGTTCCTGGGTGAGAGAGAGGCCTGGTTGCCCCATCCCTCTCTTACTGCTTCCCCCCGAGGACATGATGCCAGGAGCTTCTGCAGCCACCTTGCAGCCTTGAGGAGAAAGTTGAGAGACATTGAGATGCCCACCTCAAGCTTTGGAATCAAGGTACTGCCAGGCCCACCCAGAGCCTCTGACCTCCTGCTTTTTGTTATAAGAAGTAACAGTGGCTGTGCTGCCGGAGATATGAGTGGCCATAATCCCCAGATTAGAGTATCAACATGACAGGTGCTGTGGTGTCCCTGCCTCATGAAAAACAAACATTTGCCATCAGCTCCGACTCATAGTGACCTCATGTGTGTCAGAGTAGAACTGTGCTCCTCAGGGCTTTTTTTTTTTAAAAAAAAAAAAAAAGGTAAATACGTAAGTAACATTCGCCAGTTCAACAATCCTCATATGAACAGTTTAATGACACTAACTACGTTCATCATGTTCACCTATCACCTTTAACCACTCTCCAGCTTTTCCATTGACCTCAACAGAAGCTCAGCGTCCCCTGGATTTTCAGTGGCTAATGTTTCGGAAGTAGATTGCTCAGTCTTTCTTTTGAGGCACACTCTGGGTGGACTTGAACCACCAACCTTCCAAAGCCAAGTGGAGCCTTCACTGTTTGCACCACCCAGGAACTCCCTGACTCACATAAGCTGGTGGATTTTGTTTGCAAGCAACGGAAATGGAAACGGACCCTGGTTCATTTACACAGCAAAGGTACACATTGAAGGGCTACAGATGTGGCCAGAGAGCTGGGAAACCAGGCTTAGCAAAAGGGGCCTTAGTTTCTCAGCGTTGCTGTAACAAATACCTCACGTGGGTGGCTTTAGCAAACGAATTTACTTTCTCATAGTTCAGGAGGCTACACGTCTGAATTCAGGGTGTCAGCTTTAAAGGTAGATCCTTATCTCTTTCAGCTGCTTTTCCTTGGTCTTGAGGCGATCTCTAAAACGGCATCCATCTTCTCCCAGTGCTGGTTACTACTCTCTGTTATCTTATCTACTATTTTTATATCTCAAATGTGGTTAAGACACACCCTACACTGACATAGGAGCTCTGGTGGCGCAGTGCCTAAGGTATCTGACTGCTAACTAGAAGGGTGGCGGTTAAAACCCACCAGCCACTCCTCGGAAGGAAGATTGGGCAATCTACTTCTGTAGTGATACTGCCTCGGAAACCCAAGAAGGGGTAGCTATGAGTTGGATTCAATTCAATGGTATTGAGTTTGGTTTGAGTTTAAACTGGCGTGGCCTTACTAACATAACATAGAAAACCCTATTCCCAAATGGGATCCCATCCACAGGTATAGGGGTTAGGATTCCAACACAATTTTTTTGGGGATGGACACAGTTCAACCTATAACAGCTGGTTGGTAAGGACAAGTCTGTCACCACTGCAGAATCCAAGGGCTTCAATTGGCACCACTTGTTCCTGAGTGGAGACCTCTAATTGGCCCACCTCTCCAGGAAATGGGGAACAGGACACATCAGCATGCAAGTCTGCTCCTGCTGTGTAACAAACACCCCCCAGTCCCAATGCCAGGCACCAGTAGATGGTTCTCTCACAGGTCAGCAGGGGTGCCCATCCTGGGCCTGGGCCAGGGGCCACTGAGCTCCCAGGCGAAAGTCTGGATGATCCGAAGGCTCCACTCCACCCATCTCTGCTCCCCCTAGGACCGGTGACCACCCAGGGCCTGTTCTCATCTGCCGTGGAGCCAGGGGACATGTGGCCTCACAGGAGGTCACTGGATTGAGGCATATGTGGTCATTTCTGCTGTGTGCCATTGGCCAAAGCCAGTCATATGGTCATGGCCTAGCCCAAGATCAGGGTTTCTGAACCATTAACCAAAGCAAGTTACATGGCTGAGGCCCAAAGTAAGGCATGTGTCATTTGACCAAAGCCAGTCACGTGGTTGAGCCACAAAATCAGGGCCTGTATGCCATTGGCTAAAGATGGTCATATGATTGAGCCCCAGATCAGGGCCCATGCACGACTGGCCTAAAAAAGT